GAACCACCACTAGACCATCAAGGTCGTCAAAGTGCCACCCAAAGCAATAGTGCCCCTTGATGTTGAAGTGCCACTGCCAGACCACGGCTTGATACTAGAGTGCTGTCAGACCACCACCTGAGGCACGGACTTTTGTTGGATCACCACATGATGCCCAGAGTTCTGTCGAAACTACGATCCTTCTGACCTATGTTGCCTACTATGATCCTTCCGACCTCCCTTGCTAGACAATGGTCTTTCTGACCCCAATAATCTCTTGCCGACCACAGTCCTTCCGACCTCTGTCGCCCACTACGATCCTTTTGACCTTCGTCGCATACTACGGTCCTTCCGACCTCCCTCACCAGACAAAGATCTTTATGATCCCAATCTCCTGCCAACTACGGTCCTTCCGACCACTGTCATCAGGTTACAATCCTTCGGACCTACGTCGCTCGCCACCTATGGTCATGCCGCCCAAATTAACATATCAACATTGATTCTTCCAACTCCTACCATATATATAATTTACTTTATATGATGTATATTTGCTACTTCAAACCAAGGCCTTCTCCCAAGGAAGGGCCTCATTTGTAATCGACTGCAAAGACTAGTGGATTCATTCAAATTGGGCTAGGCCCCGTGATTTTTCTCCCTTTTCAGGGGTTTCCACGTAAAAATTATGATGTCTCCTGTGATTAATGCATCCACCTTTTCTACCTGTTTGTGTACTGGATTTTCGTACAACGCTAAGATGTTAAACTATATACTTCTCTACCATCGCAAATATTCCGGGACACAAAAATCTTTATGTGAAGAACCTCATAAATTCAAAATCATTCATTTTTTAGATTATTATGCATTGACCTATCCAAAATAATCATAACGCTAAGTAGTATCTTTTCATTTAGACCATTGATGAAGAGTCTAGATTTTTGACAGGAATTATTAAAACATCCATGCTTTAAATATATGAATAAGCCTTGTTCCTATATATTCAAGTGGACTTCTATGAGAATTCTTAAACTTAAAACATTTAGGATTCATTACGGACAGCATTCTTATTATTTTTTTAAGCTACTTTATAATACAAAGTTTCTTGAACTAAAAATTTTTGTACTAAAAAGCTGCTTTAGAAAGCAGTAAAAAAGTTATCCCAAACGAAACCTTAGTAGCCGTACGACATTCATATGGTACCTCAACTTATTCACCTTTTGGATATTCATATGTCAAAAGCTCTCATCCTCCAATTGGCTTCATTTGCGATAATTTTTTTACTATTTTATAAACCCATTTTTTAGTACAAAATTTTCTAGTTCAAAAAATTTTTGTACTAGAAAACAACTTTAGAAAGCAGCAAGAAAACTGTCCCAAATGAAGCCTTCATCAACAACTTTCTAACAATTGAGTTTTGAAATAAGTTTCCACTATTATTATTGACCGATGCCAACAATAGTATTACGTCGCCCACCCATGACCACCCATCATCGACTAGCGTAGAAACTCATGTTGGATCGATGCTAACATTTTATCATTACATGTTTTCTTACATTGTTATCTATTATCGCCTTAGACCAACACTAACATGTGTGGTATCTCATCTATTCATCCACTCTATCACCTTCTAATAATCTCAACAGCAATTGCAAGTGATCCCTTATGTTTCAAACCTTGTATTCTAACCTCCTCTAAGGTTTCATTTGAGACGATTTTCTTATTGCATCTTAAAATAATTTTTTAGTTAAAAAATTAATTTTTTTGGACTAAAAAGCTACTTTAAGAAGCAATAAAAAAGTCATCACAAACGAAGCTTAAATGTGACATCTGAAGCTAAATAATAGATCAATTTTGAGCTAAAATAGACTGTAATTTTTCTCTTCTTATTTTTTCTATAAAAAAATTACGCCTAGTGTGTTGTGACTTTTTTGTTAATATATATTAATCCCTCTCTAATATCACAAATATTCTAACATATAGTATTTTTTTAATATTCAAAATTGATTTTAAATACATTAATAAAAGAAAGAAAGAAAAATATAATCAAACATTGCCCTATGATGCCTCTCACTTTAACATGGATTCATCGATGGAGGGGCAAAGTTAGAAAGATACATTTTTCTTGCTTAATTAAAAATAAAAATAAAAATAAAAATAAATAATGAAAATATTTTTTAAATAATAAGAAAATGAGTTGCAGAAACAAAATGAAAATGATTTGGATAATACAATTCGCTAAGTTGTATTAGCTCATTATATGTTATGCGTTTCATTTTAGATCAGGATAGTGTTAATTAAGGGCCGGTTGAATATATAAGGCTAATTTTTTGAGCCAGTTGGTGTGTAAGTACATTTCTATTTTTTAATTTAAATTTTTAAAGAATCCTAGCTTTTTGTATTTCCTATAGGGGTGCCAAAATCTGGCCCGACCCGAAACCTAACAGGAAAAATTTTGGGCTTGGGTCAACCCGTTTACCTTCTACTCTAAATATTTCACAATCAATGTGAATAATATCTAAATATCTCTAAATATTTCACAATCAATGTGAATAATAGACCCAAGATATCTAAAACACGCACTCTTATTGATATCTAAAACATTTACCCTAAACCTAATAATACGTTTATAATTCAAGTTTACCTTCTACTCTTATCAACAAGATAATACCATCAAGGAAAAATATACCTTCCCTCTATTGGTTGGCGAAAGGATTCGGCCGATCGATTCATAGCTTTGGGCGAAGAAACACACAGAAGGAAGAAAGATGGATACATTCAGAACAATCAAGCTCCCGTCACAATTACGAAGGAGGTGTGATTTCGGAAGCAAGAGAAATGACAAGAGGAGGTGTGACTTTGGATGCGATAGGAAGGAACGTCGCCGAAGGTTGAAGGTGGCAATGCAAATTCGAACGTGGTTAAAGGAGGGGAGACAACGGGCAGGAACATCGTTGAAGGATGCTAAGAAGTGCAGAGGTGAAGTCGAAGGAGCGGAGGAGAGCAATGGAAAATAGAACAAATAAAACAGATGCACATTCAATCGGTTAGATAGGGTTATTTGCATCGGATTTGCTGCGGATTTATCGCCAGAAAAAAAGATCATTGCAAATCTGCCGCCATTTTTGACAAAAAAAAAATAATAATCTTACGTAGAGTCTGCCACAAATCTGCTGTAAAAATCTGACTTTCTTGCAATGAGTGGTCCAATGGTGGTCAAATAATTATGATCTATTGGCAATAGTTGGAGAGTGATGGCATGATAATGTTCTATCATAGTTTTATGAAGCCTCCTCTCTAGTCAAGCCCCGCTTCATTTAGAGACTAATGTATAGTTTTTATGAGAGTTTTTTTTTTTAAAAAAAAATATGATCAAAATCCAAAAACATTCAGTCGGATGGCTTGCATTGATTTTGTTCATTATGATCATTTTTTCAGCGTTTAAGTATCACAATGATTTTAGAAATAAATAACCTTGATCCCATTCGCGCTATTCATTTCGTCAAGATGCTAGATTATGTTATAAGCATGTAATATTTGGCTATTTTTTATCCTATTATTATCTTAAATTAAGCGTATCTGATTGAGACTGATTAGGATGCGGATCAAATCAGTTTTGCTAGATTTGTCTCCATGAGATATTTAAATCGGCAACAAATTTGTTAAAATTGGAGATCACATAATAATTAATTTGGCTCTCTTAAGGTTTCTAACTTGAATATTATCTTGAAAGTCCTCCAGAATCCAAAGAATTTTTTTATTTTACACCCGTAATTGAGTCAAAACCAGCAAAGTCAGTACAAAGTCCAATGCGAATAGTACCATATGCAATTATTTTTTTCATAATCACACCCAAGTCAAAATTAACAAAGTCAACCCCTGCACTGGTCCAGCCAATCTCCAATGCGTATTTAATGAAATCCATAAGGCTAATAACAGTGGTTTGCCCACATGTTATTCAACTAACTTTACTATTACAAGCCATGAAACTAAACAAGGCAATCCACACATTTCATTTTACCTAATCCCATTCATTCCTAACAACATATTTTCAATTCAGAATTAAATATATAGAAATAAATTTTAAAAATATATATATTTTCAAATAAAAATTTCTTACAATAGACAATGCAATTTCAGCCAAGGCAATTCATTAAGGCTTCATTTGGGACGGCTTTTTTACTGCTTCTTAAAGCAGCTTTGTAGTACTAAAAAAACTGCTTTAAGAAACAGTAAGAAAGTCATTCTAAACGAAGCCTAAGACTTCTGAATTTTTATTGCGTCCTCCCACCTGACGTAGAGATACGACCTCCCAGAGCTAAATTCGCGCTAAAAAATGAGAAATACCGAGCAAATACCGAGCAATACCAAACAATAACGAGGAATATCATCATGTGAAGACCAATACCCAGTTATACCGAGCTATACCGAGCAATACAAAAAAATACCTAGTTTTTCCTAGAAAGAACTCGGTATTTTTTTGTATTGCTCGGTATTGCTCGGTACAGCTCGGTATAACTCGGTATTGATCTTCACATGATGATATTCCTCGTTATTATCAAATAATACCTAGCAATACTGAGCAAAAACCGAGTTTTTTGGCGGTGGGAGGACATATCTCTACGTCAGGTGGGAGGACGCAATAAAAATTCAAGACTTCTTTTGGTACGGTTTTTTGGTTGCTTCTTAAAATAACTTTTTAGTACAAAAATTAAATTTTTTAAATAAAAAATTACTCTAAGAAGCAACAAGGAAGTTGTCCCAATTGAAACCTAAGTTTCCATTTGAGACAACTTTCTTGTTGTTTTTTAAATTTTTTTAGAGAGATTTTTAATTCCAAAAATATTTGCAATAATTTAAAAAAAAAACGGTAAGAAAGCTATTTCATGCAAGTCTAAGTTCACCGGTAAAAGAAAATTGTTCTGATGAGATGGAATTGCAAAAAGAATTTAATTAATAATAACATCTGGGAAAAGAAGAAAAATAATTAAATGATATTGTTGTAAAAACACTAATTTCATGCACCATATGGTTTTGATGTTACATTTATACAAATCATTTTTATTATTCTGATAACATATATTCAACGCTTAAACCAACAAAGGGATCGATAGTACTCCTACAGTCCTACAGCACAATTTAAATAAACCAAATGAATACTAAAAGAACAAATCGAACTCTGCGATACAATCACTACGTCATGAGGAAGAAGATGAATCAGAGTGTAGATTCTGTTCCTTCTGAGTGGGATACGGAGTGGAGCTTTCACAAGCTCTAGTCTTCCTCTTCTGTAAGAAACTCTGCAGCGATCTTTTCATTGACAACCTCGAATTCAGTACCTGGTGGTCCGGCGCCGGCGCCGGCTCCGGCCATGAACCACCAAGAGCAGAAGCTGACTGGCCGCTTCTCTTCATCTTCTCCTCCATCTCCCTCTTTGCCATGCATATTATTGCCCTCGCCTGCAATATTAATTCTCTAGAATTACTGCTCGTAGTATAAATGGATGAATATATAACTCAAACTGCCTGATGAAAATTTCGAAAAATTTTCAGTTATATTTTTATAAAATCTAGCCGTTATACGTAAATTTATGTTTTTGTGTAAATTAGTTGTTTGATTGAACGATACATACAGTAATTACGAGAGAAGTAGTAACCTGAATCTCAGTGACGTCGCAGATGCAAACCTGGCCGCCATAGAAAATACTAATTTTCTGCTGCAGATCGCCGGCGGCGGGGGTCGCCGGTGGACCTCTTACCGACACCCCCGGCCTTCCATCACCACTGCAATACATAATTAATTCATAAAGATCGTCAGATTCTCTTGGTCAAATTTAAAATTGAAAAGAAATTAAAAGCAAAAGGGAATGGTTTAAAGGAAAAATTGATCGATCAATAGCACCACCTTTGGTTTCTGCTACTGCTCGACCGGCCGCCAGGCGTTAGAGAGAGCTCTGTGTCACAATCGATATTGCCGGACGCCATTCTTCACCTTAATCTTCCTTCAAATTTTATACCAGTTTATATCACTGAGATTCAAATATCCTTCTCCTTTGTGGATTCCACAAGAACTAGAGAGAGAAATAGGATTGGAGATAGAGAGAGAAATAGGGAGAAAGGGCGCACGTGATTTATAAATTGCCTCGGCGGCACAAGGAACACGCATTTGTTTCATGTGTCGAAATTAGCGGTGGGGCCCATGGCTTCATATGCTGATGGCGACCGTTTCCGATTTCCACGATCCTACTTTCTCCTTTTAATGGTGAGGACGTTTGGGTTTGTTTGGAGCTCTTTGTCGAGTTCTATAATCCAAGAAGAGGGCACCATAACTTCAATGGAAAAGCATTTTTTTTATTAAATATTAAAATAGAAAAATTAAAAAAAAAAATAACTAAAAAATAATTATCACACCGCAGCTCTCTCTCTCTCTCTCCCCAACTCTGAAAACTAAAAATATCACTTTTTTTGGGAATTTAGGCCTCTCTTTCTTCTCACTATGTATTCTTATAACTTTAAGTCTTTTATTTCTTTCTAGTTCCTTATTCCTGGCTCTCTCTCTCTTTCTCTCTCACACACACAAGAACTCGTTGTTTGTAATATGTTTTAATCATTATTATCAAAGTTTGATATTGCTATAAAGAATTTGGCATGATCAACACTGATCATAAGGCAATATTTGAATTAAAAACTTTCAGAATTAAACTCAAGATCATCTAAATCTAATTCTAATAAGCTTTGAGTTGAATTGAACATCTTGATGAGACCAATCTTTTAACGCTACAAATGTTTCTATTTGACTCTAAATGACCTAAAATCAATAACTTGAATTATGTTTAAAAACTTCTAAGCATAAATGGATGGAGTAAACTTCCAATTATGATGTGCTTACAGTCAATTGGGTGGCAAAATGAGATGAATCTAACGTGGCTAAGATCACTTGATTCTGACATCATTAAGACATTAAAAGTTTGATAAAAAAATCAATGATTAAGGGGATATGTGTGGATCATACAAGGAAGTGCTTTGAGTTCTTGTCAAATTTATCAAAGTGTCATCTAAAAAAGTTTATAAATAAGATCTCATTCCCTATAGAAGAAGTGGTTCAAGACATAAGAGAACTAAAAACTTTCCTTGCATTTTCTATCTATCACCGCCGAAAACCACCATTAGCAATCAACAACAACATCACTAGACTTCTATCAACATTTAACATTGCTGTTGGGTTTAATCATCTACTTGTGATCATAATATATTTGTAATTTCTATAGGGAAACTTCATCAATTATTCTCAATTAAATATAATCCTATCTTCTTCAACTGCGAGAAGTGGTGATATTTAAATCTCCTATTCTATAATGGATTGCTACAACTAGACTAGGTCCTGCAATTTTTCCTTTTCCTGGATTTTCTATGTAAAATTTTTTTGATCTTCTACATTATTTTCTATATGTATTAGCTAGATTTTTGTTAATAACTAAAATATTAAACACTAATTTGATCATCATAAATTTTTTAGCAAGTAATAAAAGCTTAAATTTATGCATTGTTTGACATTACTTTTTTTATACATATAATTTTGAGTTGTTTTTTTTTTTTTTTTTTTTTTTTTTTTTTTTTTTTTTTTTTTTTTTTTATGGAGGTGATAATCTCATGGATATATATTTCTATTTTAAAGTTTTTTTTGTTTTTAATTTTGAAAACTAAAATTCTCTTTCATTGAATATTTATAAAAGTTGCACGAATAAATTACAATTATGCATGTTGCCAAGTATCGATAATCACAACCTTTAGGTGATCTCTGTATTTTTTGCTTTCTTATAACCATTTCCTACTTCTATTGTATTGATCCTCTTAATTCAAATCTGCTTTCTTGTATTCAGTTTGTTGTTGCCCCTTTACATATAGGCGAGTTGTTTGTTAAAACATAGTTAATTCTTTACTGTTATTTTCTATTGGGCCCTGATATTTCTATTATGGGTGATATATATGTTATTGGATTCATATTTTATGATGTTCTATTTTCAACATTCTTGATTTCATGTATTGTGTTTGTTGGTAAATCCTTCAATTGGATGGTTTATCTGTTTATCGCTTGGTGTTTATCTCTATATATGATCTAATGTGATTGATTATTTGGTAGATATCCTTTTGGGTGTTCTATTGTTTTTAATCTTTTGTTACATTAATGTATTAGTTTTCTAGTTTATGCTCCCATGAAGGTTATATACTTATATCCATGATTTAATCCTAGTTTTGGTGTTTTGAAAACACTCAATGTGTCTTCTACTTTTTGTATTATTTTGGTTTTCGTTCTTGAGCTTCTAATTAATTGTGAGTTTCACTGTATATGGTGGGGATTTCTTGATATTTTTGTCTGTGATTGGATTACGTGATCGATTTTTGTTGGCAGTGTTTGCTGGTTGGATACCATTGCTAATTTTAGTGATTTTTTGTGTTGGGTTTGTATTTTCCTCTGTTGTTCCAATGTGTTTAGTTGCCCATTTTTTGGTGGCACTACTTTTATATTGGGATTTGCATTTGTGGTCTTATTCTCTTACATGTTTGGATGTTCTTCATTTTCTATTGCTCGTCTAATTAGGCATGTGTAGCCTCCTTGATTATTTCTTCTCTATAATTTTTTTATATTTTGCACTATGTATTCTTTTGACACTTACTGGATTTGGCATTTCTAATGTGGTCCTACTGCTCCTGTTGGAGTTTGGGTCTGGCTCTTGGCCTTCCTTTTTTTTAACTAGATAGGGATCAATGACTCTATAGGCCGGTTTTTTTATTTCTCTAACAATTTTTTGAGAGGAAATAATATTAAAATTTTCCTTGAAAAAGGAGAACCACAACCTTCAATTTTAGTAAGTTAAAATATTCATATATATTAAGATTGTCATATTATTATTATTTTTGGATATATTATTATATATACAAATAAAATAGTTTGTTAACTAGTTTTTTATTTAAATTAGAACCGAAGAGATACTTAAAAAAAAACAAAAGCTGAAATTGATGAACATTATACTTGTGATGATGACAATATATAGTTCAAATAAATTTATGTACAAATCAATTTAGAAAAAAGTTTGGCTCTCATCCAAAAAATAGAGATGCAATGCGAAAATCTTACTTTTAAAAAGGACCATATCAATCTTATGATCATGAGTTTTGCATGTACATATTAAAAATAAATTATGTAGCTAGATTTAATATTACATGATTTAATATTTATAAAGGCTAGTTGAAGTATAGTATCACAAAAGATGTAGTTTATTATTTATTTTATTAATTTTATAGGCTTGAAATAGGAGAACGAGCAAGTGATGATCACATTTTTTACACAAAGGAATTTTAAAATTGAAAAAAAGGAACAATTCTTAGTTAGATCGGTCTAATTATTAGTGCTCATAATATTACTGAGAGAAAATGCAACGATTTAATGAATCAATCAAAAAAATGTCTATTTGCATATGCAAGACCTTCTGATGAAAATCGATGAGATTATCTAACATGATTAAATGCCAATGTTGATTCCATACATTTTTTTATACAAAGGATTAAATTTTCATAATCTCATTATTAATCTGAGTAATTATGATTTAGTTATTAGTTTAATTATTTTATTTGGATCTATTATTGGATTTTTTTTTATATAATCATATAAGATGGATGAAGTAGTGATAAAAAAGGTGAAGTACATGGGAGCATTGCTCAGAAAGTTTGAAGCTATTTTTTTTATCTTGCTATATAATAAAGATAATCTCAACCTTTATAGTAATATTTTTGTCTATATTAGAGGTTTGGGTGACTAATACTAAGGGCCACATCTACAATTTATTGCCGATCCTTATTATGTGGTTTCTTTAGAGGGCTAGAAATGATGTCAAGCATAATGAGATTAGAATGGATGCCAATCATATTATTGCTAATGTGAGAAACAAAATTTTATAACTTTATTCGGGTAATCTTATTACTATTAAGAATTTTAAGAATTGTTTAGATTTGGCTTTGAAGTTTGGCATATCCATTAATACTGAGCCGTTGGTTAAAACCGAGAGAACCGTGAGGTGTATCAAACCTACTACTCCCTTTTTTAAACTTAATATTGATGGTTCGATTGGGATCTCTTTCACGGGTATGTTTGGCATTATTCATAACCAGTTTGGAGACTTTATTGTTGCTTATGCTGGTCCTTTAAATCTTGGTAATGTGATTATTGGTGAACTTATGGGTTTTCCTCATGGCCTTGACATTTGCCATAGGTTGGTATTACTAATGTGTCTATTGAGGTGGATGCTTTGCTCTTAATTCAGATCATTCAAAATGAGGTTACGGGTCATCCCCATATTTTTTATATTATTAGAAGAATTAAACATTTTCTTTCTACCCTTAATTATACTATTGCTCATGTGTGTCGGGAAGGCAATGCCTGTGCAGATTGGTTGACCAAATTTGGGTGTCAACTTGAGGCTACTCGGGAGTTTGTTGATTCTAATTTACCTTTTTCTCTTGAGAGGTTTGGTTAAGTTGGACAAACTTGGATTATCTTATATTCGGCTTGGCTGATGGGCTCTCTGTTTATTTTTTGGGGTTTTTTATGGTGTTTGTCATTGCTGAGATCTGGAATTCCTCGTAGTATGCCGGTAATATTTCTATCATGTTCCCTCTGATCTTGTTATTGGGGAAGATCTGGTGGGTTTCCTTCCTTATGTATTGGTTGACTCGATTTACTTTTATTTTGGTTTTATTTGGTTGGCTGGTGATTGGGTGGTTATCTGTTGCCATGTATTTTTTATTTTGGGTTGATATGTGGTGGGCAGGCTGCTGTAGGATGTTCTACAGGATGTGTTTGCTCATCTATTTTAATTGGTTGGTCTAGTTATTTGCTTCTTCTTGCTAGTTGGGTTTCAATTGGTTCTTCTTGCTGTATTGGAATCATTTTTTGTGGTAGCTCAAATATTGATATTTAATTTTCTGTGGTTGGCTTCCTGGGGGGGGCTTGCTAGTTTTTATCCTATATGTATTGACATTATTGACAAAGAAGTTAATTGGTG